GCATCGGCAGGCGGACTCTCAAGCACTGCGCCACCAGGGAAGCCCTTCTTCCATCTTTGTACAGCTCTGATGGGGACACAGTTCTTCCATATTCATCCCTGTGAACTCTACAACCATTAACACAAACCAGCATGTCCTGAGGCTCTCAGAGGCAGGGGGCCGGCCCCCAGAGAACTGCAGTCCCCGTGCACGATCGCACTCTCTCCCCACACAGGGAGTTGTCACGTTCCACACTCGGGAAAACAACACGGCACCAGTGCAAATCGGAAGTGGGTGTCTTGAAAGAGGGCTCTCCACCTGGTCAGTCCCCCTGCTCCCGCTGTACTGCACCCAGCCGGCCTCATTACATGCCTGGCCCTGGAGCCATGGGAGTGTGCACCCGTGGTATTTCTGCTGATTCCTCCCCTCCCCTCTACCAGCCTTGGCAACTTACCGGCGTTTTCGGCTCTTGTGTTTCTGAAAAAGAAAAAACCAGAGACACAAACAGAGACACAGAGAAAACATGAGTTTCTGACCTCAAAAGGAGCCATACATCCCATGTTCATGGATCCGAAGACTTAATATTGTTAAGATGGCAATACCCTCCCCAAACTGATCTACAGATTCAATGCAATTCCTAGCAAAATAACAGCTGGCTTCTTTGCAGAAACTGATAAGCTGATACTAAAATTGATATGAAATTCAAGGTACTCAGAATAGCCAAAACAATCTTGGAAAAGAAGGACAAAGTTGGTGGCTCACACTTTCTGGTTTCAAAACTTATTAAAAGTTACTTACTACTTGGCCATAAAAAAAGAATAAAATTTGGGCATTTGCAACAAGAATATTATGCTAAGTGAAATAAGTCAGGGAAAGACAAATACTGTATGTTACCACTTATACGTGGAATCTAAAAAAAAAAATTAAACAAACAAGTGAATATAATAAAACAGAAACAGACTCACAGATATAGAGAACAAGCTAGTGGTTATCAGTAGGGAAGGGGAAGAGGGGAGGTGCAAGATAAGGAGAGGGGATGAAGAGACACAAACTACTATGTACAAAATAAATAGGCTACAAGGGTATATTTACAGCACAGGGAATATAGCCAATATTTTATAATAACTTTAAATGGAATATAAATCTATAAAAATTTTGAATCACTATGCTGAACAAACTAATATAATATTGTAAACCAACTATACCTCAATTAAAAAAAAAAAAACCTCATTAAAAACAACACTAAGCAAGATGGTGTGGTACTAACATAAGGACATACAGATCAATGGACACTGCAAGTCTAGAAATAAACTCTCGTATTTACTGTCGGCTGGTTATCAACAAGGGCGCCAAGACCATTCAGTGAGAAAAGAAAGGTCTTTAACAAATGGTGCTGGGACAATTGGGTATCCACATGCAAAAGGCTGGATTCCCACCTTGTACCATACACAAAAATTAACTCAAAATGGATCAGACGTAAATGTAGAGATAAGACTATAAAACTCATGACCTTGGATCAGGCTATGGTTTCTTAGATATGACACCAAAAGCGCAAACAGCAAAAGAAAACAGATAAATAGGACTTCAGCAAAATGGAAAACTTCTGTGCTTCAAAGGATGTCATCTAGAAAGTGAAAAGATAACCTACAGAGTGGCAACTTTCCATAAATCTAGAGAAGCCGCACATAAAAAGTTAGTTAAAAAGTACTCCACTGTATCAAGGAGTCAAGAGAGAAGAAATAAAAAATGAGAGAGGAAGAGAGAGGGCGGAGGAGGGAAGGAGAGAGGCAGAGAGGAGTGCGGAGGCCCTCAAGGTCTTGATTAAAAGCTCCTACGGAAGAAAAAAAAAAAGCTCCTACGCCTCCTGACACAAGCCAAGCACCTCATCTGGAGGCTCCTCCAACCTGGGGTCCGGAAGCTACGGGAAGGCTGGGCCGGCCAGGGCCGCTGGCCTCAGGCTCCCCCCTGGCCCCTGAGCGTCTGGTCCCTGTCACTGACTCTGGACGCTGAGCTCCTCACCATGAGAAAGGAAACATCATCCTCCTTCATCTCCATCTGCAGCCGCTCGATCTCACGGGCCAGGGCCTCCGTGTCTTCCGCCAGTCGCTTCATCTTCTCCTCGGCCAGAAGCTGCTTCTGCCTGGCCTCCTCGGTCATGGCATCCAGGAGAGCCTGCTCCTCCACTCTCAAGAACTCTCGAAGCTTGTCAAACTCCTGCCGGATTCGCCCTTCCAGCCAGGAAGCCTCCACCTGCAGTAGAGGGCGGGAGGGGGCCTCAGCCATCACCGAGCCCGGTGGCTCCCAGATGTTTAGCAAAGGAACTCCATTTTTCGGGAGAAATCACATGTAAGACCTCGAAAGACAAAATACACATGCAGCTTTCTTAGCACGAATTTATAAGTTTAAAATAAGTCAAACAGCCTAATGAGGTTGTTTTGATACATGAAAAATAAAATAAAATCACTGCTTATAGATGACAACTGTAGTCCTATAAATTCCTCAGCAATACGCTGTACCTGTATAGGCTGTGCAATAGTGAGGGAAGCCCTGAATCACAGAAGTGAACTGTTGCAAACAGCAAAGATTTTAAAAAATTATTTGCCTTCCAGGGAGTTCCCTGGATGTCCAGTGGTCAAGACTCCGCACTTCCACTGCAGGGGGCAGGGGTTCAATCCCTGGTCAGGGAACTAAGATCCTGCATGCAGCGCCGCACGGCCAAAATAAGTAAATAAATAAAATAAAATCCAATGTCCTATCGTTTAAAACAAATTACTTGCCTTCCAACATTAGGACCTCAAATTTGATAGAGAGGCTTACCCAAAAAATAGTAGGAAGTTTTTATTTTAAAACTGAATCATTAATAATATGCACACTCCTAATCACAACTACGAAAAGCATTTAAAATAACAGTTAACACAAAACCATAAATATACTTAAAGAAAAAGCAGAGACCTATTTCTCATCTTGGAATGAGAAAGCCCTTTCTTATCATGATATGAAATTGAGAAGCCTCAAAGAAAGAATGAGATAACTGGATACATGTAAAAATAAGAAGTTTTACATGGCAAGAGACTACTAGTACATTTGAATACGTAAGTACAATTCCATGACAATTTTTGGAAAAACAACTCAAACTGTGTGCTCTAGCAATGGCAGGTTAGTAACCCACATCTTTGAACTGAAAATTCAATATACGTTTATGGCTCTGATAATACGATGACAAAATGATTCACTGAAAAAGGGAAAATGACCAAAAAAAGGGGGGAAATGATTTTTTGAAAAAGGACGAACTAGGAAAAATACTTCCAACCTATATGGCAGATTATGCTTCTCCTTCATAATAGTGTTCTTATGAACGCGCAAGGAGAAAAGAATGTGAACTTCCCAAAAGAAATGCAAATGGCTATTCTACTTGTGAAAGGATGTACACACTTATTAATAAACAAAGAAATGCATATGAGGAGAGATGGCGCTGTTGAAATATCAGGTAAAAGGACTGATAACGTATAGAGGGAGAGAGTGAAGTCTGGGATGATTCTTATCACACCGGAAGATAAAAAACAGAGTGGACAGGAAAAACCAGCCAGTGTAAATTCAGCTCCAGCCACCCTCATGCTGGCAGTGGCAGCCCCTCAATAAAGAGGTAAACACAAAACTTTCGTTTTTCATCCACCTGGATTGACTGGCTTTAGAGGAAAAGCATTAATGAAGCTGGAATCCTGGACTTTTCACACCTGACCACCTGAGAATTCCACAGTGCCTGGGATGGACAGACAGCAGCTGTCACTTGGACACATGGACACTCCCTAGGTGTCCCCACCGCATCCTGCACCAGGCCAGCCAGGCACACGGCACAGGCCAAGCTTGGGAGAAGATGAAGCTGAGGGGCAGACGGAGGCTGGATGAGGCCCTTGGATGGTGAGGAGTCTGGACTGTGCCATGGGTGCCATGGAAACCACTGGACAGTTTTAAGCAGAGGAGTGACACAATCGATCTATTTTTCTAAAAGATCAGCCCACTCCAGGGAGTGTGGACTGCAGGACAAGAGTGGAAGTACCAGGCCCAGGTAGGAGGCCAGGGAAAAAACAATGGGGACCTGGACCAGGATGGTGGCAGTGCAGCGCAACTGTCAACAGACGGGATGCATTCTGGAGACCATGGATGTGGGGAGTGAGAATAAGGGCGCTGCTGGCTTGAGAGGCCGGGCAAGTGGTGCAGCGTGGCACATGCTGTCAGCCTGAAACCACAGGGCAGGTGGCGCAGGGGGCTGCTGAAGCTGCTCCATGGCTGCTGGCATGGTGTTTAAAGAGGCCACGCAGCCACAACCGGCGTCCGAGGGCAAGGCTGTGCGAGGCCATCAGGGCTGGCAAAGGCCAACCCTGTGGGCAGCAGCATGGCCAGGGCTGGCCCACCTGCACCTCTCCCCGCAGCAACCCCGGGTGTCCCCGTCGCCCCATTCAGCCCCAGCGTCACTCACCTGATTGTGCTTGGCGATGGCCTCATAGGAGCGCCGCATGGCCCAGAAGGCCTTGGCTTTCTCCCGCAGCGCGTGTTCCATGTTCCTGCACTTGGCCTGCCGTGAGGGGTGAGAAGGAGGCAAGGAGGCAGGTTAGGGCGGAGGCTGGGCAGGGATGTGGCACGCCACATCACAGCGGGAGTTGCACATCACCGTGGGTACCACTCGACCACATTTACTGAACCCGGTCTGGCCACGTGCTGTGGGACACAGCTGGAAAAGCACAGCCCTGACCTTGAACTGGATGGCGTACGGCATAAAGGGCCTCAGATAGCCTCTAACCCAGCCCCTTCGTTTATACCTGATACAGAGGGAGACAGGGTGAGGAGGTAAAGGGACCTGTTCCCTCCCACACTGGTCACGGGACAGCACAGAAGGCATCCCGCTTGGCCTAAAGCTGGTGCAGGCTGGGCCATGAACCTGAGCTGTGGGCCCGACGGTAAAGACAATGTGCTCACAGGCTCCCTTGGTGACTTTCTGAACTGGACTGGTCTGTAGGCACGAAAGAATAGGCCTGATAGTGGGGATGACCCAGTTCTTCCCACAGGGCCTTATCTAAACTGCAGTCTTCCCTTGGTATCCATAGGGGATTGGTTCCAGGATCCCCATGGATACTGAAATCCAAGGATGTTCAAGTCCCTTATATAAAAATGGTGTCGTATTTGTATAAAATGCTATGTAAGTAGTTGTAAGTACAATGTCAATGCTATGTAAATAGTTGCCAGAGTGGCAAATTCAAGTTGTGTTTTTTGGAACTTTCTGGATTTTCCCCCCCGAATATCTTTGATCTCCCACTGGTTGAATCCACAGATGTGGAACCTGCAACTACAGAGGGGCTACTGTACACGTCTCCCCGCATCCCTGCCTTATCCTGATATTCTAATAGTCCTTGGATCGTGTGAAAGACTTTAATCAGCAGATTCAAATACTTCTTGCTTAGTTTTTGTTTTATAAATTTAACCTCTGCTCTGATCTCCCTGGGCTCCTAGAGGAAGCACTGCTGGTTTTAGGTTGGATTCTGACCTTTTGTATCCCAGGCCTAGCATTTTCTCTCCATCTTTATCCTTTTCCCTCTACATTCTGAAAAAGCCTCACAAGTTTTCTCTTTGGAAAAATAACAATTCTAACAACATTAATTATAAATGACTACCATTTATTGATCATTTACTATGTGCCAGGGACTTTGCTAATTACTTTACACATTACGTCACTTAATCATCACATTATTCCTATTAGTAATTTTATCAGCCCGCTTTTACCGATGAAAAAACTGAAGCACAGAAAGGGGAAGTGACTAGCCCAAGGGCACACAGCTAGGTCATGACAGAGCAAGGATGAGAACCTAAACAGTGGTGGCAGGCAGCCTCTAAGATCGTTCCCAGTGATCCCTCCCTCCTGTGAGATAAGAAAGTTTGTTGTTTTATGCTGCCAAATTTGGGGCTAATTTGTTATGAGTGATAAATACAGATTTGTCCTCAAAAGCCTCATCCCCACCTGGGCCTGATTTAGATGGTGAGATTCTGGACTTCAAGCTGATGCTGTAATGGGACAAGATGCTTGGGAATCTTGGGAGGGGGTGAACATACTCTGCATGTGGGAGGGACATCCATCATTGGAGCCAGAGCGCAGATTGAAGGAGACAGCCTCTAAAACGGCCCCAATGATCCCACCTCCCTGTACTCATGCCCTGGTGGAATCCCCTCCCTGTGGGCTGGATCTAGTGACTTGCTTCTAACCAACAGAATATGGCAGAAGTGATGAGACATGAACTGAGGTGACAAAAAGCCTGCACACACCCCTTTCTTGCCCTCCCGTGCTTGCTCCCTTGCATGGAAGTGATCCACCCTCTGGAGCAGCCCATGGGGCTAGGAACTGAGGGTATCCAACCAACAGCCGCAAGGACCCGAATCCTGCCACCAACCACACAAGTGAGCCTGAGTGGGGATCCTGGCTTTCTTGGGCCTTCAGATGAGACTGTAGCCCCGACCAACACTGCAGCATCATAAGACCCTGAGGCAGAAACAACCAGCCAGGTCATGCCAGATTCCTGACCTACAGAAACCATGACATAATAGACATTTTTGTTTTAAGCCACTATGATTGGGGTAATTTGTTACACAGCACTAGATAACTAGCCCATCTGTCCTGCTCCACAGTCCATTCTTTTTTTTTTTTTTTTGCGGTACACGGGCCTCTCACTGTTGTGGCCTCTCCCGTTGCGGAGCACAGGCTCCAGATGCGCAGGCTCAGCGGCCATGGCTCACGGGCCCAGCCGCTCCGCGGCATGTGGGATCTTCCCGGACCGGGGCACGAACCCGTGTCCCCTGCATCGGCAGGCGGACTCTCAACCACTGCGCCACCAGGGAAGCCGCACAGTCCATTCTTTTAACCACTCTTCTACAGAAAATAAACAATGATTTCTTTTTCTGCAGCTTTCGTTTTCTATTCATTCTAGTCATGTTTATGTTCCTCTTGACAATATTTAACAGATTTTTTAAAAATACTGTGTTCCGCAGTATATCACCTCTAAGGTGTGTCTCGTCAACAGCAAAATAACATTAGCATGAGCGTCCCACAAAACCACTGAAATACCATCCCAATGTGTTATTTTGTGGGATGAGATGTTTTGTTGCAAAGTTATGTAATAGGGTCCCCAAAGACAATTCCACGATTTGCCAGAGAAGTGTGAATGACAGGAGTGAAGCAAGTCACATTACCCAGGGGCATGCTGGCCCCAAACAACACGGCCCAACCTTCTGCCCTTCAACTTTCAGTCCGGGATTTACGGGGTAATGAAGGTGGGAGGGGGGTGACAGTCCCTTGTCCTTCCCAAACTTTTCAATCACTTGGAGAGTTTTGCTTTAATTCAGCAAATCCCAACCCTAAATAAAATGTGCCCTTCTCTGAGATGCCAGCTGGTGAGACCCACCAATGATTATATTACCACCAGCAAGCAGTTATTATTGAGCATGTACTATGCACAAGGCATAAATCAGGTACTTTACAAACATCATTCTATTGAATTCTTACATTTCTGCAAGGTAGGCGCTATATTGCTAATATATAGAAGAGAAAAGGCGGCCCAGAAAAGTTAATTGCCAAAATTACAGTTAGCAGCAGAACCATAATCTGTCTGCAGAACTGACCAAGAATGAAGGCCACAGTCTTAACCACAAGACTACCCACCCTATTTCATTCAGGGAGCTACTACTATGTTGTCTAGATGTCTTTTGTGTTTCTAAATGTGTCATCTTACTTCCAAATTTGTTGACATCAAACATGTCAATTTCTTTAGTTCTGGAGAATAAAAGCTTACAGTTCTGGCCATACTTTGCCCAATTCCTTAAACAACCTAGCATGTGAATGAAATTTTCCTCCCATAAATGTCAAATTAAACAACGTATCTTTAAAACTTATGGAAAATCAAAACCTGGAAATGACCCAAATGTCCATCAGCAAGAGATGGGTAAGTAAATTATGGTATATTCATACAATGGATACAATACAATATACTGGTATATTCATACAGTAAGAAAAGGAGAAAACTACTGATACATGTAACATAGGTGAATCAAAAAGTATATGTATATACTACTCTGCAGGAGAGTACATACAGTATCATTCCATTTATGTGAAGTTCAAATCAGGCAACACTAATCCAAGGTGATAAATCAGAAAGTGGTTGCCTCTTGGTGGAAGACTGACTGGGAAGAAGTTGGGACCCCTCCAGGGTGATGGAGATGTTCTCTACCTCGTTTGGAGTAGCAGGTATAGGGTGTGTGTAATAGAACTCATCCAACTGAACATTTAAGATCTATGCATCTAACTGTATATAAGTTATACCTCAAATTTTTAAAGCCTATAAAATGAACACTTTAGAAGTTTTAACTTTTTCTTATAACTTACCAAGAGCTTAATGAGAGGAAATTCCTTCTTTTTCACTCCAGTTTTTTTGGGCCCTGTTGCGCACCTTGCGGGATCTTAGTTCCCCTACCAGGGATGGAACCCTGACCCACAGCAGTGAAAGCGCCGAGTCCTAACCCCTGGACTGCCAGGGAATTAATTCCCTTTTCTCTCCAACTTAATGAGTTACTCTGTACCTTTCAATCTCCTTTGCTGTTGTCACTAATTTATTTTCTTTTCATAAGACAAACGTGCCATCTCTTAAAGAATTATAAACTGAACACGCCTGTAACCACCAGCCAGGACATGTCCCTTCTGAATCTTAATCCCTTTTTTCTGTCAGAGGAAACTCCTCATTTCTATGGTACTTCCTTGCTTTTCTTTATAGTTATATCCGCTATGTATGATCCCTAACCTAAATAATACACTTTAGTTTTGCCTGGTTTTGAGCTTTACATTAATGGAATAAAACGACATATATTCTTTTGTGTCTTGCCTCCTCTATGTAACATAAAGTTTGTAGGATTCAAATACATAATTGTATGTAAGTTTACCCGTTCATCGTTGCATTGTAATTTATTTCATGAATACACCACAACCAGGTATCCATTCCGTTGTCAATGGATAGCTGGGTCGTTTACAACTTCTAGCGATACAAGTAGGATGAACATTCTTGTGTAGGTCTCCTAGGGCACAGGTACACTGGTTCTGCCACAAAATATTTCCTGGGGGTAGAATTGCTGGGCCCCTGGTACGTGTATCTTCAACTTTGGCAGATAAATGCCAAACGTTTTTCCAAAGCAGGTGTACCAATTTATACCACATGAGCAATGTTAATGAAAAATGTTTATTAACCATTTGGATCTTTATTTTTAAATACCTGTTATTAAAATCTTTGACCCTTTTTCTATTGAGTTGCCTGCCGTTTTCCTACTGGCATGTAAGGATTTATTATAAACACACAGTGTGTGTCTTTTATGGGTTAGATGCATAATGAGTATCTTCTATTGTATCGCTTATATTTCTTAATTTCAGTGTGATCCAATGTATCAGTGTTTTCCCCTGGAATTAGCGCTCGCTGGTTTTAAGAAATACCTCCCTACTCTGAGGTCATAAAGATAATCTCCTATATTATTTAAAGTTATAGCTTTCCT